GCCTCTGTGACATTCTTTCTAGTCTGCCTCCTACAAGAAAAAGGAAATTAAATTTTATAATGACATTATAATTAAAAGATTGAATGTAAAAACAAAGGTTTACCTTTTTTTTCTTTGTTCCATTGAGTGGGCTCTTGAAACTAGCTTGCCTGTGACCTTTTTCACCGCATCTCTTGCCGCGTTGGTTGGAGCAGTATCATCTGCATTAGTGGCATTGTTACCTGCATTGGTAGCACTACTAATACCCTCACCATCTTTCCTACCTCTTTTCTTGTGTCCACCTTTGAGACCTCCTTTTATCCTAAGTTTTCTTTGTCTTCCACTTCCTCTAGGCCAACAACAAATGGCAGCTGCACATGTGGCCATTGTAATCTACCAGTCATTGGCTCAATCTCTACTATAAGCAGCCTTGAATCTATCCACTGAGTAGTAGTTATGCACAAATTGTTCAAGGTCCACTACCCGTTGTGAGGTTACAAAGGCCAATACATATTGACATGGCATACCAATGTGCTACCATTCAAGACAAGTACAAGTCCTTTGATGCAACTTGACAATATGCCTTTCAACAATATTCTTACTATGGTCCCAAATCTCTGCACTCCAATTAGCAGCTGACACAACTTTCAAGTGCCCCAATCCTCTAGTGTTGGCCTTTAGTTGAACCATAACACCTGGAAATATCCTCCCAACTGGCAGTCTATCTGCAATATTTCTCCTCTTGTTCCACAACCTCATAATTATCATTACCGACACTGCATATCCATTGCTCGATCATTTGGTGCAGCCACATGTGCACTCTCATCTCTAACCCCTAAAAGCACAGATATTTGATTTTCACTCATAAGTTCAATTCTTCCTTCCTCATCGTGTGACTACTATCTGCAAGTTGTCCCAGTCAATTTGTGGTATAGGATCATCAACCTCCATATCAAACCTAAACCAAATATCGTTTGCAGTTTACAGTCTAAAAAAAATTTGAAAAAATAGAAACAAAAAAGCGAAAAGGCTACATCACCACACCTCGGAGGCGGTGCACGTCGAGGGCGCAGAGTCTCCATCAAGTGTAGGTGCCGGCGAAGCCGTGTCGACGCCGGTCAGCGGGGGCGCGTCCACCATGAGGGACGGACTCGGACTTGGCGGGGCGCGGGACGTTGGGGCTGCATCTAGCCTACCGACCGCGTCGGTCGCATGCACCAAGCTGAGTGCGCGCCTGCTGTCGGGGCCACGACGAGGGGCGGCGAGGTCGCTCCTAGTTCCACCGTGGTCATGCCGACGGCCGCCGAGGTCGCTCTGAGTTCCTCCATGGTCGTGCCGACAGCCACAGTGGTCGCGGCAAGCGCGGGTGACGGCGTGGTGGCGCTGAGCATGGATGGTTGTGTGGTGGCGGCGAGCGCGTCCGCCGGCGGTGCCGCGTCGCGGCCGCCCTGCATCGCGTACATCTAGGGCACGCAAGCGGCGGTTCTTCGTTTGCGAGCGGTTTCATATGATGCGAACAGTCTCGATCTCATCTCTTCATGTCAATTCAGCAGAAGGGCAACAATGTCTTTTTGCGTGAAAGGGATTCCCAAAAGATATTAACAAAGCAACTAAATAGGGACTATGGCAACAAAATCAAGGTACATATGTTTAGACTGGTAATTTTGCAAAGTCAATCTTTCGGATGGTAATTTTGCGAAGCCCATTGTTTGCAACGGCAAATAGCCCAGAAGATACTATGATAGTTGTAACCTTTAAATTGCTGACCCAGGCATGCTGCGGCGTAAATTTGACGTATGTTTATACATGTTCCAGTGAAGACTGCGCCATCCATGTCTGACGCGGCGATGGGGAAGCTAAGCCTCGGCGCGAAGGCCATGTCGGAGGGCGGCTTCGACAAGCTGTACAAGCAGACCTTCTCCTCCAGCCCCGAGGAGCACCTGAAGAAGACGTTCGCTTGCTACCTGTCCACGGCCACCGGCCCTGTCGCCGGCACGCTCTACCTGACCAACATGAACGTCGCCTTCTGCAGCGACCGCCCGCTCTCCTTCACCGCGCCGTCTGGCCAGACCGCCTGGAGCTACTACAAGGTATGGTCATCCTCGTTTCACGGCAGGCCGGCCTTTTCGATCGCATGGACACGTGATTAGGAGATGCGGCCTGTTCGCTGGTTGGTTTCTAGACTGGTTTGGGCTGGCTGATGCTGGTTTGTTATGAGAGAAAAATACTGTTGGCTGGCTGGTTTGGTCTGGTTGAAATCAACAAGCGAATATATGATGAGCGGGTGCCAACAGTAAACTGACGCTTTGCTTTGTGGTGCAGGTTATGATCCCTCTTGGCAAGGTCGCGACGGTGGAGCCGGTGACGATGAAGGAGAACCCGCCGGAGAAGTACGTCCACATCGTCACCGTGGACTCCCACGACTTCTGGTTCATGGGCTTCGTCAGCTACGACAAGGCCGTGCACAATCTCGTCGAGGCCGTCTCCCAGCGCTCCCAGTCCCAGCACGGCGTCGGCGTGGCCACTGCCGGCAGCAAGTGATGAGCCACCGCTCGTGAGACTTGGGCGTTTGGCACCCGTCGTGTATATAGCTCTGCCTGTGCGTTACCTGTGTCCTGCTAGTGCTACGATGGTGTCCCGGCGTGTGTTTGAATGTTCTCAGTTTGTGGTACAGATGCACCATGGCTATTCTATCTGCTTGCGAGTATATATCCGCTATATGTTTTCACTTGACTCATCGAGTGAAGTTCTTCGTGTCTGCATCAATTTGTGATGGTCTGGGGCTCTGGGCAAAACTGGCCAATGTGTGACTAGGGAGGATGCAGGATGAACGCGAGTTGAACCATCGTGCGTCCAACTCGGGCTGTGGTAGAATTACGAATTCACTGGGTAGCTACGAATCTATCCTAAATACTTGTCCGTGGGTGATACGAATGAATCTTAATTCGTGGACACGCCTGAGTCATTTTGAGCACTTACCATAAGAAGTGGGGCACTTTTTCTGTGTGTCGATTACAATTTTCAGATGGTCTACGAACAATGACATGGTGCTGTAGAAAATTTAGAATGGTCGGGGAGATCTATAACAAAAATCGCTGCCAATTTTAGCAAGATTTATCAACAAGCTCATGATACAGTCAACAAAGTCCCTAGATGGTTAGTACTCGTGTGAGGATGCGTGAAGTGTCGGTAGCTCACTAGCTCAGGTTTGTGCAACAGAACTTCGTCCTGTTCGTTTGGCTTATAAGTCGTACTTTTTTAGTCAACAAACAATATTTTTCCAACAGTATTTTCAGCCATAGCTAATTAACCAAGCGAATAGGGCACTTATCAACAATTGATGTACTCTTCAAAACTATCACTTATAGCGAACACAGGAGACGTGGAAGCATCATAATCCTCGTTCAATTCAGCAAACCTAAGCCTAAAAATCTGCTGCTTCCTGCTCATCTCAGATCCTCGACAACTGAACCAGGCCAACGATTCAATCCAGCGACTACGGAAACATTTCAAATGCAGCTCTTCAACATTACAGTTCATGCAGAGAACTTGGCTCACCTTCGAATTTTGTACTGAAAGTTGGTGCTCTCGAACTACTTGGTGGAACAAACATTTCATGCAAGTCGACAGGAGATTATACAGTACGCAAAACGTGAATTAGCTTAGTGATCACTAATTATCATTAGCATCAAAGCCGCATATGTTTAGCAGAAACTATGCAATGCAACACCATTGTCTGAGGGTACAGCTAGCTAACGAAACCACATGAAATGCAGATTCTGTGATCTGTAATACCCAGTCTAAAAGCATTTACCACAGAAAGGTGGTCACTTGCATCAAAATGGTACCGCTAACTGCAACACTCAAGCTAACCATGCTGGCAGAACTAAGAACCGGAGGGAATCTTCAAGAGTTGTTACTCATTACAGAACCAGAACACTTGCATGCTTCTTAGGTTGAAGATCTCAGATGCAACGTGTGCCACTGCAAGCAGTCTTGTTCTGTCTTGGCACAGAGCCAGGGCCTATGGTCACAAGAAAGCAACGACAAAAGACAACCTGATTAGCAACACAGCAATAAGAACTAAACCATAATACAAAGTGAGGCTATATATTCCCTTCACCCTTGACCTCTTAGCCATGTGTAAAATTTGCCATTAAGTGAGCCCCGCTACTTGAAGTATATGTTATGATTTAGTTGTCAGCTAAATGTAAAAATTCAGCTAGTAGCATCATTGTGGTATGGTTTACATATCCCAACTGTGTTGTATGAAATGTGATAGTCTGCTTAGAGTGTCACTAGGAGTTTAGCTTCCAGAGCTCTCAACAGATTTGTACAATCTACAACCACCCAATGTATGTACTCATGTACAAAACATGAACTAAAATGGTATGCTGCATAACTAATTTACATGGTGTGTGAATACCAAGGAAACAGTACAGCATGAAGATAAGGGCATACAGGAACAAATCAATATAGTTCAATACTTCACTGCAACTTAGCTTTGTGGAAAATCAAAATTGAGAAACATGGAACCCCTAAAAATCTGAATGTCCACAACCCACCTGTAGTATATGATACACAATTGGATGCAAAGGCTCCTACATATAAGACCTAAGCAATGTCAATGCTTGGTGTTTAACTCACAGTTGGTCAAGGATGTCCAATGTTCATGCAGTTGAAAGATGCTTCATCACCAGAATGCATGCCTAAATTATTCAACCAAGTTTTATATATAGCTGCACGTGAAGATTCACATTGCATAATGGAAGAACACACAAAGACTTATTTTGACAATTGCCAAGTGCCTGAAATGATGCGATTAATACAGTACCGTCATTTTGGTACTACTACATAGACCCTCCAAGAAAATGTAAACAGTGATGTGCTAGTTTTTATGACCAACTTGCATGAGTCAAAGTGTGTATCTTACATAATCGACAATATGAAAAATAGCAACCATGTGATAATACACAATTAAGAAACACATTAACATGAATAAAATCTAGACAGACATGAAGTCATGAAGGAAAGAAATACTGACCATGTTCAATAAATTTAGCTGGTGCAAAAGGGTCGTCATCAGAAAAATTTGATCCTCGTTCAAACATCCAGGGTCTACCTCCTTCAGGACCATTGCTCCCTATGATAGCCAGTCCAAATTTACTAGCCCATCTTGCATCATTCATATTCTGCAGAATGGAAAACATCTGTTTGTCTGATATTCCAGTGACCCTTGCATTGGCTGCCGCGATTAATGCATACTTCAGCACCCGTGCATTCTCGTAGAAATACTGGAGGAAGGCAAGCTCATGTTGCTCCCCTCGGAACTCACGGATTGTCATCACCTTGATGCGCAGGAGCACACATACAATGGGACCAGCCTCTTGCCAGAACTTGATGTCGAGCTTGTCAGCAGGTTCATTACATTTTACAGACTGCAAATGTTGCAAATCAATAAATCATACAACAGATATGCTAAGCAAGTGATGGTTCATAAAGTAGCAAATCAATAAATCATAGAACAGATATGCTAAACAAGTTATGCTAGAAGATTTTGTAAGGAAGAAAAACATAGGGGCCTATAGCCTGTCTACAAATTATATAGCAAAAGGGTAAAACAAAAATACTAGGATGCATTCTCCAGACTGTAATTTGCAGTTATAGATCTTGTTTAATTTAGGCCATTTAGCCATGCAAAATAAAGCATTTTACCAGAAGCAATCACATGTAGTAACTGTGCCTTAAATCATTAAGCTCACTAAAGTATAAAAAATGATATTTTCAGAGATTTTCACTGTAACGCATATCAGTTTACAGAACAAAACATGCCCTATTACTGATCATGTACACATGCATACCAACTTGTTTTATATTCCTCTTATTTTGAGAAGTTATTGACAACAAAAGTACAGTGTGCATCATGAGAGTATTACAATAATGTGAAGAGCCTCGACGTTAGGAAAGCATTTGAGCAAGTCAGGCACCATCTTGGTGTCATTGGATCCAAAACATGATTTGATGCTCAGGACCTTGACCGTCGTGAGCATTGTGCTTGCGCTTGGTTTAATGCCAGCCTGTGATGCACAAAGTTCCACAAGAACTATCAAAGATTGCATTCAGCATGACATGGTTGCTATGTGAACAAAATCGAATAATGATATATAGGAGGCAGTAGAATTACCATGATGGTGGTGCCTCCGATCTCTAGCACGTGTTTTCCTGGCTCCAGATATCCCAAAATGCGCAGCTTGGGGGCTTTTCCAATCTTGATCCTGGTGCAGAAGCCACTGGCATGGTTGGGAGATCCCCGTACGTCCCACAGGATGAGCCGCTCGAGACAAGGGGTGTGCACCACGGCGATGTTCTCCACCACGGAAGCGCAGATCTGCACGCACCGAAGGCTCTGGCCGACGATACGCAACCCCTTAATGGTCCCTTGGATGTTGAGGATCTCCAGTACGGGGCTCCTGGCGACGACAGAGTCGATGTCCCCGTCCTCCACGACGACGCTGAAGATGCCGAGTTCGCGTAGGTTGGGGAAGGAGGCGCCTTGGAGGTGGGCCGCGCCTGGGAACTTCCAGACGCCGATGTAGAGGCGGGTGAGGGTGGCGATCCGGAAGAGCGTGTCGGGGAGGGGCACCACCCGTGGGCACGGGCGGTTGACGAGGACGAGCTCCTGGACGCCCTTGGCGGCGAGCAGACGGAGCCAGCGCTTGAGCTGGGGCTGGTACGCGTCCATGCGGGTGGAGACGAGGTGGACGCAGCGGAAGGGCCCCGGGTGCGTGGCGAGGGCGTGCGACACGGCGGCGGTGACGGGCGTCGCGTCGGCGGGCGTCCGGGCCAGTGGTTCAGGAGGTGGGCGTCGGCGACGACAAGCGGCGCGGCGAGCCAGAGCCCGCGCCAGCGCGTGGCGAGCACGGCGGTGCGCGCGGCGTCCTTGAAGGGGAGGCGGGAGACGATGTCGCGGAGGAGCGTGTCGGAGAGGCTGCTGATGCGGTCGACGCCGTCGGAGGGGCCAGTGCGGCGGGCGACGAGGTGGGCGGCGGTGGAGACAGGAGGATCGGGGACGCAGCTGTGGATGTACGACAGGAGATGATCCATGTCCCCGTCCTGCTCGTGCTGGTCGTAGCGCCGGCGCCGCGTGTCGGCCGCCGTCGCGGGGTCCAGGTTGGAGAACGGCGCACGGCTGGACATGGCCGGCGCGGGCTAGGTTTTAGCTCTCGGTCCCGATTGAGGAGTGTGAGAACCAACTGAAGTGTGACCGAGTGGCGGCGGGTGGTGAGTGAGATTTGTAGGGTTCGGTTGTCGTGGTGTCCGCTGTCCGGTTTGGATGGGCCAAATGTCCGAAGCTGGTTGCTCCTGGGCCCATTTATCAGTCACTAGCATGTAAGGTGGCAGAGCACCCTTCTGACGTGCCTCCTCTCGGTACTGTCCTGCAGATGTACATGATACGGTGTTTAGTATTGTGGTTGACTTGAGTGCCCTGCCTTATTTGCTCCGCCCGTTTCCTAGATCTTCACCGAGCGAGCGTCCCCGGTCGGTTGGTCCCAGTCGGCTCCGACTACACCAGTCGGAGGAGAGTTGTAAACAGAGGTTCGGTGTATCCCCGGTCGGAGAAGCAGATCGGAGTCGGAAGCGAACGCTGACCTTCCTTGGCCAGGCCTTCCTGTGAAGAGGCGGGCCAGAGTCGAAAGTGAGTGTTGTCCTTTCTTTGGCCAGGCCTTCCGGTTGGAGAGGCGGGCCGGAGTTAAAGGCGAACGCCGTTCCTTTTTGGCCAGGCCTTCCGGTCGGAGAGGCGGGCCAGAGTCGGAGGCGAGCGCCGTTTCTTCTTGGCCAGGCCTTCTGGTCGGAGATTGGATCGCCTTTCTGGCCTGTCGTTAGGTTTTTGAGCCAGCCCAGGAGTTGCGCGTTGTTCGCAACGTCGTCTGCTAGGCCGAGCTTTTGCTGGAAAGCAGGTCCATGAGGGACCCCGGGTTTATGAACCCGACAGGAGCCCCCGAACCCGACAGAAGCTCCCGAGCCCCTGGGCAATTTGGGTAGAATCATCTAGGGGGTTTTTCATTTTGCCAGCGGGGGAATTTTTCGTTTCGACAGTGGGTCCACGCGAGCGCACCTACGGATGTAGCCCCTGAGCCCCCGGGCGATTCGGGCAGAATCGCCTGGGGGTTTTTGTCAGCAGGCGTGTGTGTGTGCACCTTGGTGGGCATAGCCTCCTCTTTCCAGTTTCGACCCATCGTTTCCAGGAGCGCGCTCCCAGGCGTTTGGTCACAACCGAGGGATTGGGCGAGACAGAGTCGTCAACCAGGTCATCGGGCACGCCAAGGGATCGGACGAGATAGACTCGCGGATCCAGGCATTGGGCGCAGTCGAGGGATAGCCAAGGGATCAGGCGAGATGTACTCATGGACCAGGCATCGGGTGTAGCCGAGGGATCGGACGAGTTAGAGTCACGGATCTAGGCATCGGGCGCACCGAGGGATCGGGCGAGTCAGAGTCGTAGATCTAGGCATCGGGCGTGCCGGGGGATCGGACGAATCGGAATCGTGGATCCAAGCGTCAGGCGCTCCGAGGGATCGGGTGAGTCAGAGTCGCGGATGTGAGGTCATGCCGAGGTGTTGGGCATCCTGAGCCCCTGAGCCCCGTTGGGCTCGGTAGGGGTCAGTTGAGTTTCATGCGTTACCCCGTTCGCGGTTTCCGCAACCGGAGGTGCTGAGCTAACGTCGCTTGCCTCGATGGCTCGAGTGACGCGCTCGGTGAGCTCGCTAACGGGTACGTTCAAGTGGAATCCGGGTCCGTCGTTCGTGATGGGGTCGGCATAGCCCTCATGTGGCATTCCACTGCTCCTTAACCCACGTCCCGACAGATGCCCAGGTCGTTTTGAAGACCGACCCAGGTTGCCCGCTGGCCTCCCCTCGATGGAGATTCTGTGGTCATGGCTCGAGGTTTAGGATCAAATGAGAAGGTTGAGATGACCCTGTCTGCTTTGGGGCAGACTGGGTGAGGGCCGCTGGGGCTCATTTGTGTTTTCTCCCCTGGCTCTGTTTGACGTGAGGCGGCCTCGAGCCCTTCGTACCCTGGTCGGTTGTTGCTTATGTTGAATGAGGCAACTGCCGCTTCGTGACGTAACATGGAGCGTTATGATGCATCAATTGCATATGCGATGCTTCGAATGTATGGGATGAATGAATGACTTATATGAATGAATGTGTGAATGCATGTATGTGAATGGATGAATGAATGATCATGCATCAGAAGAAATAAAGTAAGAGGGTTTGGTAGAGTTACCTCGATGACTCGAGTGATAGGCTTGAGGAGTTTTTATCGAATATGTCCGAATGGGATCGGCACTCGTCATTCATGATGGAGTCGACGTGGCCCACATGGGGCATCCCTCAGCTCCTTACCTATCTCTTGACGTTCGCCTGAGCCGTCCGATCGACTCAGGAAGCCCGTTGGTCTCTCCTGGGCGGAGATCCCATTGTTGGGCCCTTCTAAGTCTTGCCTAGGAAGGTGGAGGGCCGCCTGCGTGTGGTTGCACCTTGTTTCCCATGCCCAGTGTGTGGTAGTGGTGGGCCATGCCTAGGCCATGTCCCCTCTATCCAGGCACCGTCTCATCGGGCAGGGTGCGTCCCATCGGTCAGGATGCGTCCCACTGCGTCCCATCCGCATTGAATGGGGGAAGGGAGAGGGTTTTTCGTCCCAATCCTTTGCCTTTCCCCAACTACTACGCCTCCTCCTTAAATAGGGGATGGGAGAGGGCTTTCGTCCCGTTCCTTCGCCTATTCTCCATCCGCCGCCTCTCCTCCTTCTTCTCTCTCGCCAAGAGCGTTCGAGTGCTGTGGCGGTTCCTAGGAAAAAAGGGGAGAGCGAGGGAGAGGAGGAACTCATAGGTCCGTTCGTGAATCCGGAGCAAAATGTCGAGCTAGAGGTCATCTTGTGTCAGCGAGTCGGTGCTGGCCGCCTTCGCCGAGAAGGGGGTGCTGCCGCCGAAGGATGTGGTGCACTAGAGGGCTCCTACGGGGGAGGACTTCCTGCGACCTCGGGCCGGTGAGGTTATTTCCTTCCTCGCCTTCCATGAGCGTGGGTTAGGATACCCCGTGCACTGGTTCCTGCGCGGGCTCCTTAATGAGTGGGGCCTGGAGCTGCAGCACCTCAATTCGACTGGGGTGCTACACGTCACCGGCTTTATCACCATCTGTGAGGCCTTCCTCAGGATGGAGCCGCACATGGACTTCTTCCGACGGATTTTCTATGGGTGAGCATTGTCGGAGGGGAAGCCGCTCAGGATCGCGCCGGTGGGGGGCTTCGCACTATAGAAGAAACCAAGCATGTCGGGTGCCTACCCTTCGTACACCCCCTGTGACTCCAATCGGGGGTGGAATAGGGAGTGGTTTTACATCAGGAACCCCGCGGAGGCGCCGTTCCCGCCGTTCACCGGATGGGGGCCGAATAGCTGGTCGTGGGGGCCCGCCAGTCAGCAAAACAAGCTGGAGGTCATCGAGGCGGAGCTACAGAAGCTGGTGCAGCAGGGCCTCGACGGGCTGCGGGTGTTCCACACCTTCTTCCGCCGTTGGGTCGCCCCGCTGGCGGAGAGGACACGACCGATGTGGATGTACACCGACCCGACAGACCCCGACTGCGCGTCGCCGGAGGAGTTGGCGAAGGACGAAGTCTGGAACCAACTAGATCGAGTGTTGCAATTGAGGGCCAAAGAGACCCTTGAAGGGAAGCCCGAACCTCTTCACACCTCAAAGCTATCCAACCTGGTATGTTGTCCTCTCCTTATTTCATGTCTCTTTCGATCCTGCTCTCCTGTAATCTTGACTTCGAGTTGTCCGTTTCATAGCGACTCGAACGTTACAAGTCCCGGCCGCATGTTCCGAAGGGGCCAGAGGGCGTGGCCCGGCAAGCCACCCTGAAGGAGGCAGCGAACGCCAAGAAGAAGAAGAGAGCTGAGAAGGCTCGAAGGAAGCACGAAAAGGAAACAGAGATCGCCCAGCGGGTTTGGGCAAGCAAAAGTTGGAGCGATGTTGAGGCAGAGCTCGAGTCGGAGGAACCCATGAAGATGGGTGACGACGCGATCTCCTCCAAAGATGAGGGGGCCAGGAGGTTGTCGTGACCTCGGTGGAGCGCCGAGAGCCTATGGCCATGTCTGCCAGCGGTGGGTGGGATGCGGCAAGGCACGGTGGCGTTCCTATGCCAAGGAAGCGCGTCTGCGAGTGGTGAGTGGGAGGCGAAGCGGACGCTATTACCGCGGCCTTCGGAGGCATCGCCGGCCTTGTCCCCACCTGCTCCGGGCACGATGGGGTAGGCCAGGCAGTCGGAGGAGTGGGCTCGCACCTCCATAGCATCAGGGCCGGCGCCGGCGCGTGACTCACAACGGGGGGACCCCCTGCCAAATGCTTTGGTTGGCGCCCCTCGAGCCGGTGGTCGCGGTGACTCGTGGGCTAATCAGGAGCTGGCCAGGTCGACTCCCCCCTATCGAGGTGAGGGGGCATGGCTCATGATCTGCAAGCGGCCCTCATCCGGCGAGCCCATTGCTAGCGGGTCGAGGCTTCAGAGCCCTGTCGCTTGCGTCCCGATAGGCTTTCTTTGTTTCTTTTTGATCTCATAGTTTTTGTGACTGACATGTACTTGTTTGACAGCGCAGTTCGATATTGATCGGGTTGAGCATCACCCTGACTCCCATGCGGGAGGAGTGGAGGCCCACCTTGAATCACGTTGCGATGAGCGGCGGGG